TTTTCCATACAAATAAAAAATCTGTCTCCATAGGATTCTGTTCTATTACTTTATTCATTTAAAATCAACTTAAAAAGGCGGCAGAATACTAAGATTTGATGATGTTGGTGGATGGTCTACAGATGTTATATTATTCTCAATCCTATGTTTATATTATTTCACAATAAAAAATGAACTTGAAAAAATGTATCTTTCCAAAAGGTATAAACATACACAAATGAAACCCAGCTTGAGTGCAGTTATGCGAAAATGCACTACAGATTTCAAACAATTACTTTCAAGTGAATTTTTGGAAATCAGTCTAGCTATGTATAGGGAAGGCCATTACTTCTTTTGGTGGGTAAAACAGGCAAAAGAAAGAATAAGGTTCCAAAGAACATCCTTAGACATTTATTTGTTTTAATTTCTTGTAGAGATGGGTTCTCACTTTGTTGCCCAGTCTGCTCTTGAACTCCTGGCTTCAAGTGATCCTCCCACCTCAGCCTTCCAAAGAATTGGAATTACAAGCATGCACCAGAGAGCCTGGCCTCAATCTTTAGATATTTAAGCAATAAAAAATATATGAGCTCTGCCACCACAGAATTTAGAATAAAGATGCCCACCAAAACAGTAATGTATCATCAAAGACTTAGGAAGTCACCCCTTCTTGGCCTTTTGGCCAAGATCCTGCATATAAGGCTGAAATTCATTTCTTTATAAGACAACATTGGTGGGGGGTTGGAGAGTGGCAGAGACACAGCATCTCTGGTTATTAAAGAGAAGTAACATGGCTAGACTTGTACAGGCTAGACCTGTATAGGCTCACACCTGTAACCCCAGCACTTTGAGAGGCCGAGGCAGGCAAATCACTTGAGGCCAGGAGTTGGAGACCAGCCATTGACAACCTTGCAAAACCCCGTCTCCACTAAAAATACAAAAATTAGCTAGGCATGGTTCCGCATGCCTATAGTCCCAGCTACTCAGGGGGCTGAGGTGGGAGAATTGCTTGAGCCCAGGAATTTGAGACTATCCTGGGCAACATAGTGAAACCCCATCTCTACAAAAATGAGGTGGACGGATTGCTTGAGCCTGGGAGGTGGAGGCTGCAGTGAGCCAAGATCACACCACTGCACTCCAGCCTGGGCGATGGAGCAAGACGCTGTCTATTTAAAAAAAGAAAAAGAGAGTGAGAGAGAGAAATAACACATTCCATTGCAAGAGATGTTTGTTCTTTTGCTTCTAATTGAGAGCTAGATCTTATTCAGCAACAATTATGGATTCAAGCCAGCAATGGTGTGTTAAAAAAAAAATTTATAAAACCAATTATGTTAACTACAGGTGATGAATTGAGATTTCAAACTATAATACAATCTACCAGGTAATAGACGTACTAATTATTTGGCGATAATTCCCAAAGCAGTTTTATATCATATAGGAAAAAAAAAGAAATTTAAATAAATACATTTATTAGAAAATATTCATATTTGAAGAGTTAACTTGAGATTAGCAAAATACTATTGTTTTGGCTTCAGTCTGAAAGGATATATGCCATATTCAGCCTCGGGCTACTTTGCAGTCATGCACCTACTTTAAACCAGAGTTCTGGAATTACAAATAAATAAATATTAAAGTTTTTCTGCAGCCCTTCTAGTATATTCTTGCCTTTTTATCTCCTTTTATCCTCCCCCCAATTTTTTTTTTTTAATAATAAAGTAGAACTGCATTCTAACAGAGAACAAATATCAACTGGAAACATTTTTAAGAAATGAGATAAAATGCAAATTGAGCACTTTCTGTAAGGTTAAAAACCTGCATATTTTAAAATCAATCATCAACCTGGCATCCTTCCTCGTATATTGTTTCTATAATCATCTCAGAAAGCAGGCAGTCATAGGAAAACACCTACTTTAAGACATATTATTGACAGAGATGAAATATGACCCAGATATATAGCTAGTTCATAAAAACAAACAAACAAAAAAAACAGGTCAGCATCGCTTAGGTAAACAAGAGATGTTATGAAGTGACTCCATGTCCTTTTCCATCTGCAATGTAACTAAATCATACCAATCCCCTCCATATTCCCTAAGAAACAATTCAAAGGCAGCTGGAGTTTCCAAAGTAAAAAACTTTGAATTAAACCTGCACATTAAGAAAACTTTCCTCCTCTAGAGCTTCAAAATCGGGATCTGCCATCATAGACCCCACAGCTCTGCTGATGCCCATAGAAATGACTACGCTTTGACGAGCAAGGCAAGGGTAGTAGAACTTGTGATGTGAAAAACAAAAACCTTAAGGAAAAAAAAAAGCAATCAGTGTTCTCTACAACAAAAGAGTGGAGAACAAATTAGCAAACATCTAAGAATTGTCTTTGTCAGTTCAGCAATTAAAAATTGGAATGAGTTCATTATTCTGCAAACTAAGAGAGGGAAGGAATCTTTTCAAGTAAGCAGGGGAGATTTAGCTCAATCTTTTAATGGGAAAACATGGCTACTTTATTTTTATAAACCATTTTAACATTATATTCAATCTTTGGAAGTCAAGTCATCCAAGAGGAAAGCACTGTCTCTGGCAGGAAGGTGTACTGGATTTGAGTTAAACTGTTCTTGTACGTTAAAAGCAGGTCAAAAGGGCAGTTTAAGCACATGCTAACATTATTCAGGAGTTCTAAACTTCTGAAACCTGCTTAGATTTTATCCCTCTAGAAAAAATATTTTAAGAAAGCATTCCTATCTGCCCATTATGAAGTGGCACTTAGGTATCTACAACTTCCACAATGAGAACACAGCCATTTTAAATATTCTTAAACCAAGTATTTACTTATCGACCTTTTTAGAAACTCAATTAAAGCATCCCAGTGAATTCAAATAGTATGGAAATTTCCAGAATGTGTTTCAGCTAATTTGGACCCCAATACCTTCTTTATCAATACCCTGCTAGGAGGAAGGGAAAGAAAATTTACTGCTTTACCTGAGGGGAAAAAAGAAAAAAACAATAAAAACTCCGAAGGACTCCCCTTAGGTTTAATGTGAATATTTCTATGTTCAGATACGTTGACTGGAGAAAAGTGCTGAAATGTGACCAGAGAAAAGTACTTAGTATTCTATTCCCATAGATATCTTTTCAGACACATTAGTAAATATGCATACAAGCCACAGACTGTATCCCAAACCTGTAACTTTATAATGCCTTTGAGAACTTTCCTTCACAGTCTATTATGTCACTAGCCACTCTCCTCTCTTCTTTCCTCGTCTCTAAGGACTCCAGTCAAGGAAGTTGCCTGGGTGATTAGCAGTAATGACTAAGGTTGCAAGAAAAAATCATTAGCGAGAACTCACTACTCAAATATTATAACTAAAGTATTCTATCAGGCACACACACTCACACATGCTGCTCTTCTTCCTGTCACGGCTGCCTAACTAGAATACCACGGACCATGGCTGTTTTTCTTTTTCTTTCTGTGACAGGGTCTCGCTCTGTCGCCCAGACTGGAGTGCAGTGGTGCAATCTCGGCTCAATGCAGCCTCGACCACCCAGGCTCAAGCGATCCTCCCACTTCAACATCCGGGGCTGGGACCACAAGCACATGCCACCACGCCCGGGTAATTTTTTGTATTTTTTTGTAGAGCCGAAGGTTTCGCTATGTTGCCCAGGCTGGTCTCGAACTCCTCGGCTCAAGCCCGCTTTGGCCTCCCAAAGTGCTAGGAGCCACTGCGCCCGGCCTCATTGCTCTTTTTCATGGTCAGTGTAATCTGTCACTTGAGTCGCCCATTCTGAAACCTAAGGACCACCTCATTCCTCTGCCCTGAAGGAAGGAACCTAAGAGGCCATGCAGCACGTTAATAGTGGGAGGCTCAGAAAAGCCAGTGGAGCTTTAGAGACTGCAAATTCCCTGGCTACTTCCACCTGGAACTTCTTTGTCACCTCCGATGAATTCTCTCATCTACAGAAAGCGGCTGCTGAAAAAGACATCACCAGCTACAAGGCCTTGAGTACTACAATGCTCCCCGCACAAAGTAAAACCCAAGTCTTCGGATGAAAACCAGTCGGGGCTGTGCATCCTTCCCGATGCCAGACCACCTGAAAAGCTCACCTGTGGACAGCTCAGGATCCTGGGCTCGGCTCGCTGGCCCTGACAGGCTAGTGGCCAGGGTGGCACACGGCGGGAAGAACACACGCCCGGCCGCCTGCCTGCCAAGCCCTGCAGATGGCTGGGCTCCCTCGGCACCTTCCGCCGCCAGGTCTCCGCCTCCCAACCTCCCTCTGGGCGTACCGAGCCCGTTGTCGCCACGTTTCCCTCGCCCGGGTGGCGACGCGGCGCCCACCCCGTAGCATCCTCGCTTCCGGAGCCTGGGGCAAGGGTCTCCAGTCCCGGCCCACCGACCCTGCCCTGCTCGCGCCGCGCTGGCCCTCCAGCCTGTGGCCACATTCTAGGCCAAGCGCAGTCTGGGCTGCAGCCAAGCTGGGCCCCGCCCCACCCCGACTAGCTGCTCCTGACCTCCAAAGGGAAGAAAGCGGCGCTCTGAGAACCCAGAGAGACCGCCGGCCAAGCACCGACTCGGGGGGCGGGGGAACGGAAACCGACGTCTCCCCTTCGCCCTCCCGGGAAACCCTTCTCCGTTTACTCTCCATTCCGCGACCGCCAATAAAGAACAGAATACACGGTTAGCAGAAATAAATGAATTGCACTCTCTAGGCTCTTACCTCTGGATGGCTATGTCCCTGAAAAATGTTTTAATTAGCTAACGGAGGGCGGGGAAAGGGCTTTCTAGGTCGGTAAATAAGAGTGCCTTCTCCGTTGTCTCGGATCTCCGAAGCAAGCAGTCAAAGCGGCCACTGCCTGGCCTGCTGGAAATTCTCGAAAATTTTTCTCCCGCAGTTGACCAGATGGAGAGGGAGAAGTCTGTTCCCGCTGACTGACAGCAGATCCAGCCAGTCGGCGCTAGGCGAGACGGTTGGCCGGCTGCCTGGGCCCTCGATCGCAGCCAATCACAGATGCCGGTGGGAACGAGCCTCCCCGCGGCTGCTATTTGACTTCGCAGTCTTCTAGCTGCGTGGCGGAAAGACATCGCCCTGGGCCAGTGGTGGCTCGCGGCGGCGCCCCGCCTTCCCGAGGTTGGCTCCCCAGCCAAAGAGGGGGCGCGCTTTGCGGTGGGTGGGTGGAGCCGCGAGTCTTGGTACCTCGCCAGCGGGCGGAGCGCCGAGGGGGTTTCACTTCGGGCAAAGGGACTGTGGTTGTGACAGCCAGGAAACCGAGAACGGAATGCCAACACTGCCTGGGCTTAGAGCTTGAAAGGTATCTGATTTCACTGTCACGTCTTTGAAAAGTAGTGCACAGTGCAGTGTTCTTCGTGGCTGAACAGGTATCTTGTGATCTTTCGGGAATGTCTATTCATTCATTCAACAAGTATTTTTGTGTTTATTGAAGGACGTCTTGTATGCCAGGCATTTGCTAGGCACTGGGGATACGCCCCTAACACAGATAGACATGATAGCTACCCTCATAGAATTTTCAGTCTAACAAAGAAGAGGGAGAAAACCAACAAGTAAACAAGCTCATTGAATAGTAACTAATCATGTCAAGGAAAGAAATAGACATGGTGTGGACACTGGGGGATGACTTCAGATACGGTTGTTATATGAGAACCTTATAAGATGGCATTTAAACAATCAGTCATTCAGCCTTGGAACCAATAAAATGATGAATTGTTCTGGGCAGAGGGGACAACAGACAAAGGTCTCTAGGTGGGACAGCCCGGCGTTTTGGAAGAACAGAAAGAAAGCCAAAGTGTCCTCAGTATATGGAGGGAGGGGAAGAGCAGCATGATGTGAGGGAGATGAGGCAGAAGGGGGCTTGGAGTTGGCATTACATTTTAAATTTAATGGGCTTCTATTGAGGCATTCGAAAAAAAGAATTGAAAGAATCTGGGTTTAGACTTTACATCACTTTGGTTAGTGTGCAAAGAACAGTTAAAATAAGCTATTGGGAAACTGATTAGGAGATTATGACAGATGAAATGTAAGGTGGAAGATGACTTGGATTAAACTATGACAATGTCACTGAAGGGAGAGAAAAGCAGAAAATTAGAGATTTTAAAGATAAAGAATTAACTTGATTTGGCATTTTAGTTATTTTTTTTTTTTTTTTTTTTTTTTGAGTTTTCTTGAGGTGTCAGGGGATTCTACTGCAAGCTGGTTAAATTTTAGCTATCTGATAAATTAGTTTTTGTATTTTTTAAAGTTATTAAATTTGATTTATTTTTAAATTGATTTGGCATTTTAGTTATTCTAGGCCAGGGACAACTGTTCTGAATCCAGTGCATTTAATAACCCAGTTAGAGAGTGACTTTCACGTTGATGGCTCACAGATTATAGCAATAACCTTGAGTAATATTATGTTGAGCTGACGTCTTTTCATAGACTTCCTGGATTTTTTTCTTTTTTCTTTTTTCTTTTTTTCTTTTTCTTGAGACAGGGTTTTACTCCTGCCCAGGCTGGAGTGAAGTGACACTGTCTCAGCTCACTGAAACCTCTGCTTCCCAGGCTCAAGTGATCCTCCTCTTCAGCCTCCCAAGTAGCTGGGACTACAGGCACGCTCAACCATACACAGCTATGTTTATATATTTTGTAGAGACGGGGCTTCCCCATGTTGCCCAGGCTGGTCTTGAACTCCTGAACTCAAGCAGTCCGCCCACGTCAGCCTCCCAAAGTGCTGGGATTACAGGCATGAGCCGCTGTACCTGGCCTGGAATTTAAAAATATAAAAATTTTATTGAAATATATGTCTTAAAAAGTGCACATATCCTAAGTGTAGACAGCTCCATGAATTTTCACAGTCTGCAGACACCTTTGTATCCAGCACCCAGATCAAGGAACAAAACATTATTAATACCTGAGAACCCCGTCAACCTGCCTTCCAACCTGCCTTCTTCCAAGGGAGTTTCCATGCTGGCTTTCAACAGCATAGGTAGTTTTGCCTATCTTTATATTGTTATATATAAAGACATAAAGTATGTGTTCTTTTGGTTTTGGCTACTTGGACTCAACATTACACTTGTAAGATTCTTCCATATTGTTGTATGCAGTTGTAGATCATTTTGTTTTCCATTCTGTGGATATACTGTAATTTATGAATTCATTCTTCTGATGGACATTAGGGCAGTTTGCCATTTAGAGCCATTATAGATAGTGCTACTGTGAGCAGTCTAGTATACATCTCTTGGTGATGGCCTTTTCATTTGATGGAGTATTTTAGTAGCTGAGTTAGAATAGTTTTTAAAAATCTATTCATCAATAATGTAGTATCATGTGTTGCAGTATCTCAATCATTTGGATTAAAATTTGGTGCAGATAATGAAGGACTTTGCTTTCACAAATGTGAAAAATTTTGGCAACAAGAAAGAAGAAAGATGTGGGAAATTTTAAGCTTGGAAGTGTAAAATATTTTGAATTGTCCTGGAGTTTTGACCTTTTTTATAACCACTTGCATGCCCAGCATCTGAGAACATCATGACTTTGCAAAATCCTTGTACCATAACAGACTGGAATCCACAGTCACATGATAAGCAAAGGCTGTTCTGAAGAATATCTTTGATACTAAAACAGTCCTTGAAATTACCCTTGAAAATCACACCATTTCACACTCTACCACAGCTCATTAAAATTAAAGCCAGCAGTTTACTTCTTATGAATTATGTGCTTCTGGGTTTGAATCTCTGAAGCATAGTTAAATACACTACAAAAGAATCAGGGGGGGGCCGCGTACAGCATTGGAGCCGAGAGGTGATCACGAGGCAGAGATCGAGCCATCTGGCTGGTGAACCGTCTTACTAAAATACAAAAACTAGCCGGCGAGTGCGGGCCGTAGTCAGCTACTGGGGCTGGGGGAATGGCGTCCCGGGGGGCTGCAGTGAGCTGAGATCCGCCACTGCACTCCCCTGGGCAAGGCGGACCCGTCTCAAAAAAAAAAAAAAAAAAAAAAAAAAAGAATTCATGGCCAGCACAGTGGCTTATGTCTGTAATTCCAGCACTTTGGGAGGCCAAGGTTGCCGATCACTTGAGCTGGGAGTTCGAGGCTAGCCTGGGCAACATGTCAAAACCTTGGTCTCTACAAAAAAATACAAAAATGAGCCAGGCACGGTGGCGCATACCTATGATCCCAGCTACTCGGGAGAGTGAGGTGGGAGGATCACCTGAGTCCAGGAGGTCCAGGCTGCAGTGAACCGTGATCTCACTACTGTACTCTAGCCTAGGTGGCAGAGTGAGACCCTTTCTCAAAAAAAAAAAAAAAAAGGCTGGGCGCGGTGACTCACGCCTGTAATCCCAGCACTTTGGGAGGCCGAGGCGGTGGATCACAAGGTTAGGAAATCGAGACCACCCAGGCTAAGACGGTGAAACTCTGTCTTACTAAAAATACAAAAAATTAGCCGGGCGAGGTGGCGGGCACCTGTAGTCCCAGCTACTCAGGAGGCTGAGGCAGGAGAATGGCGTGAACCCGGGGGCAGGTTGCGTGGCCGATCGCATTGCCTACTCCAGCCTGGCAACAGAGCAAGACTCGTCTCAAAAAAAAAAAAAAAAAAAAAACCACAATTATTTGTACATCAAACCCTCATAACACGCAGTTATCTGTAGAACCTGTCAGTACCAGAACCTAAATAAAGCTTTTAAAATGTGAATAATGTGTAAAGGAAATCATTATTGGTTGACAAAAAATAAAAAAATGAAAAAGAATTCACCACAGAGGTTGACGTGGCATGACAGATCACTGCACAGTGTACAAAATAATCAAGGGGATACAGCACTCCATACATTCAGTAAGTTGAGCTACTTCTTTATTCAGTTTATATTTTATTTTATTTACTTATTTTTTTCTAGAGCCAGGGTCTCCCTATGTTTCCCAGGCTGAAGTGAAGGGACTATTCACAAGTGTGATAATAGTGCACTATAGCCTTGAACTCCTGGGCTCAAGTGATTCTCCCGCCTCACTGGAGTAGCTAGGACAACAGGCATGCACCACTGTACCCAGCTCAGTTTATGTTTTAAAGAATTGAACCATCTGCTGAAAACCACTGGCTATCAGAAAATTATACCCAAAACAATTCATAGGGCTTTGAATGGGTGGGTGGTATGTATAACTGCAGAATTATTAATACTCATTAATGAATCATTTGTTAAAATTAGATATGGACATTTTTGTATACTCAGAATCAGCAATTTTCTAGAAAAGTATCTGTATGCTACTTTTGGCCTCATGCCTAAAACATGGACCTGGGATACTAGGATGTATTTTTTCCACAGTTCAGGTTGCTCTGTCCTGAATTGCTAGCCCAGATGTCCCTTCTCTGTGTTACCAGGATAATTGCCAAAACACTGACCTAGAGAAATTTTAGGCCTGTCACAGCGGCTCATCCCTGTAATCCCACCACTTTCGGAGGCCAAGGCAGGAAGATAGCTTGAGGCTAGGAATTCAAGACCAGCCTGGGCAACACTGTGAGACCCCTGTTCTACAAAAAAAGAAAAAAAAAAAAAAAAAGACTAGCTAGACATCGTGCTGCATGCCTGTAGTCCCAACGACTTGAGACGCTGAGGTGGGAGGATGACTGGATCCCAGGAGTTCGGGGTTGCAGTGCGCTATGACCATGCCACTGCACTCCAACCTGGGCAACAAAGCGAGACCTTGTCTCTTTAAAAAAAAGAGAGAGACTGAATTTGAAATATTGTCCTTGGATGCAATTAAACTTGCAGCAATGATTTTATTTTAAAATATGATTGTTGCTTCCCCCACCCTGTGTAATTTACCTCTACAGATTTGGAGTAAATAAGCTTCAGGCTGGGCGCAGTGGCTCACATCTGTAATCCCAGCACTTTGGGAGGCCAAGGCAGGTGGATCATGTGAGGTCAGGAGTTCGAGACCAGCCTGGCCAACATGGCGAAATGCCGTCTCCACTGAAAATACAAAAATTAGCTGGGTGTGGTGGCACGCACCTGTGATCCCTGCTACTCTGGAGGATGAGGCAGGAGAACCACTTGAACCTGGGAGGCAGAGGTTGCAGTAAGCCAAGATCGTGCCACTGCACTCCAGTCTGAGCAAAAGAGCAAGACTCCGTCTGAAAAAAAAAAGCTTCGACCAGTACTAATGCTACAGAGATTTGAAATGTCTTTCCATTTCCACCTCTGATTATTTGACTATTATTCATTCTATTTGATCTTATTCAAGTCTTTAATTGCATGTTTCCCATTAGAGCTGTTGTGAGAACAATCATATTTTGTAAATGTATTTTGTAAGAAAGGTTATAC